TTCTGTCTAGAATTGAAAGTGCTGTGTTGAAGTCCTCTACTATTATTGTGGAGTTGTCTATTTCTACTTTCATATTAGTATTTGTTGCATGTATTTTAGAGCATTGCTGTTAGGCACATATATATTGAAGACATATAATGTTATGTCTTCTTGCTGAATTGACCCTTTTGTTATTATGTAATGTCCTTCTTTATCTCTTGTAACAGATTTTGATTTAAAGTCTATTTTATTGATATTAATATTGCCACCCCTGCTCTTTTTTGTTTCCTGGTTGCATGGAATATTTTTTTTTCTATCCTTTTATTTTCAGTCTGTTTGTGTCCTTATGTCTAAAGTGTGTTTCTTGTAGACGGCAAAAGGATGGATCAGGTTTTGTTTGTTTGTTTGTTTTTGTTTTTATCCATTCTGCCACTCTCTGCCTTTTGCATGAGAAGTTTAGACAATTTACATTTAAGTTGATTACTGAAAATGAAGTGTCTACCTCATTTTGCTATTTTTTTTTTTTTTTTTTTTAGTGTTTCTTCTCTTCTTTGTTTTTTTATTCTCATTTTTATGTTTTTGTTTGTATTTGGCTGCTTTCTTGTGATGAACCTTTTTGCTTCTTCCTTATTTTCTTCTGTGTATTTTTTCTTGATGATTTCTTAATGGTTACTATGCATATTATATTACACAACTCACAACTGAGACAGTGTTTAACACATGAACAACAGATAATGTATAACCTTAACATATTAAATCTATTCCTGATATGCTCCTCCCCTCCCCATTTCTGTTGCTGAGTCTCCGTTAGCACCGTTGCACATCCTATATCCGATAGGTTTGCTTTGTACCTATTTCTTACAATCTTGATGTTGTACTGTTTGCAGGATTATATTATTGAGGTTATTCCCTGAAAATATTATGTACTTGATCCTTATGACTGCTCGTGTTGTTGCCTTTTTTAGAGATCTTTCTCTCTCTCTCTTATTTTTTTCCCCCACGTATAGATTTGAATATTTGTTTAATGTTCTTGCCTTTTCATTTAGAGTACTCCTTTGAGTAATACTTGCAGAGCTGATCTGGTAGTAGCAAATTCCCAAAGCTTGTATTTGTTTGGGAATGTCTTGATATCCCTCTCACTTATGAATGAATGTTGCTGGGTAAAGAATTCTTGCTTGGCAACTGTTTTCCTTCAGTATTTTATATATGCTGCTCCATTGTCTTCTGACCTCTAGAGTTTCTGGGGAGAAATCTGCACCAATTCTTATGAAGGACACTTGGTATGTTATACTGTGTTTTTCTCTTGCTGTTTTGAGAATTCTCTACCGGTCTTTGGTTTTCAGAAATTTTATTAGGATGTGGCACAGAGTTGATCTTTTTATGTGTCTCCTAATTGGGGTTCATGTAGCTTCCTGTATTTGCAGGTTTGGTTCTCTGTCCAGGTCCAGGAAATTCTGAGTATCTCTTGGAAAATTCTTTCTATACCTTTACTGTTGTCATGGTGCTCTGGAATTCCAATGATTCTAATGTTAGATTTCTTAATTGAATCCCATATTCCCATTTGGCTGTGTTAACTTTTCTTTGTTCTTTTCTCTTGTTTTTCTTGAGACTTGATCATTTCAGTTATTCTTGTCTTCTAGTTCACTTAGTCTATCTTCTGTCTGTTCGACTATTGTTGAGTGTTTCTCTTGCTTTTTCTAATTCAGTTGCTTTATTCTTCAGTTTCAGCATTTCTCTTTGGTTTGTTTTGTTTTTTGTTTTCTGTGTTTTTTTTTTTTTCAATTTCCTTATTGAGTTTCTCATTTTGTTCTGCCATTTGTTTTCTGATCTCTATTATCTTGTTTTCTGTGTGCTTTTTGCTTTCTTTAAACATATTTAGCATCATTATCTGAAAATTTTCTATTTTTTGTGTTAACCTGGCCTTCATAGGAGAAATTTTCATGTTTTCCTCTTGATTCTTTTTCTCTTGTGATTTTGTGTGTCTTACTATTTTCTGTTGAACTTGGGCTGTTTTGATATCTTTTTTTTTTTTTTTCAATTATTTTAAATTCTGTTTTCTGATTTTTGTGAGAAAATTTTCTGGTTATACTTGGCTGAATTATCTCCACTCTATGCTCCTAGGAGGAGCCCTGGTTTCACAGTGGTTAAAGCACTCAGCCACTAACTGAAACTTTGGTGGTTCAAACCCACCAGCCAGTCCGTGGGAGAAAGATGTGACAGTCTGCTTCCATAAAGATTTATACAGCCTTGGAAACCCTATGGGGGAGTTGTACTATGTCCTGTAGGGTCACTGTGAGTAGGAATTGACTGGACTGCAGCATTCTTAGGTTTTTTCAGTGCTAATTCAGGAGTTCTGGGTGCTTTCCTCCAGAGTTCGATATGCATGCACAAGGATTTTAGCTGGCTGCAGATGCCGAAAGGAGCCGGTTCAGCTTTCCTGTGGTGAAGGTGGGAAGCGCTCTATGTCTTTCCCTCATAGGTGCCCCTGCACAGGCTCTCCCACAGTGTCCTACCGTGGGTAGGGAGTTAGCTGCTTCCCTCTGTGTTGTCCATCTAAGTACCCGCATTGTCCTGGTGCCTTTTCATCTCCTCCCAGTCCTAGTACCTGTCCATCTGGGGTCTCGGTGAGATTCAATAGCACTCTCTCACAGCACCATGGTCTCACTTTGCTTCATCTCAAGTGCGCTGCCATGAACTCCCACAGCCTATTTGTGTAGCCTTAGAAATTGGGCTACAGCTTCCTCAGTTTAGCTTCCATTCTGTGTTTTTTGTTTGAAGTGTTGCTTGGCCTCATCCCAAAATGAGTGCAGTGCGTGAGTGCTCCAGATGCTAGCAAGTAGTTTTTTCCAGCTTCTGTGCTGCACCTGCTTCTCCTCTTCCCTGTTTCTGGGCTCTCATCAACTCTCCAACACCTCAGCTGTTCTCTGGAGTTCTGAGATCTCAGTCTGTGTTTGTTTTTATTCATTGTTCACTGGGTTAGTTCCTGGGGGATAAATGGGAGTGAACACTAGCTTCACCATCTTGCCCCAGCCCCTCCTCATTGTGATTTTGATTTGCATCTCCTTAATGACTAATGATATTGAGTATCTTCTCATGTGCTTGTTGGCCATTTGTATATCCTCTTTAGTGAAATCTTTATTCAGTTTCTTTGCCTATTATTTGATTGGGTTGTTTGAGTTTTGTTATTGTTGTTGTTGTTAATTTGTAGGAGTTCTTATATATTCTGGATATGAAACCCTTATCAGATATATGGGTCCAAAAATTTCCACCAGTCTGTAGGTTCTCTCTTCATTTTGTTGATAAAGTCCTTTAATGCACAAAAGTTTTTAATTTTTATGAAGTGTAATGTATCTATTTTGTCTTTTGCTTCTTGTGTTTTTGACATCATGTCTAAGAGCCCATGATTAAAAACTAGGTCCTGAAACCATATCCCTATGTTTTCTCCTAAGTTTTATGGTTTTAGATCTTACATTTAGGGCTTTGATTCAATTAGAGTTAATTTTTTTATATGATGTGAAGTGTGGATGTAACTTCATTCTTTTGCATGTGGAAATATGGTTGTCCCACGAGCATTTATTAAAGAGATTATTCTTTTGAACCAAATGTACTTGGCAACCTTGTCAAAAATCAATTGACCATAGATGTTTGGGTTCTATAATTTATTTTTAATTTTAAAATAACATTAAAGGAGGACTTGAAGTTTTCATATTCATCCAAAGGGGACATGGGTTTTCAGTGTGGACAAATAGAGGGATGGGGGGAGAAGATGTCACTCACACCTGTGATAAAGTGCTTCCTGCAACCAGGCACTGAGGTGGTCATTGCGCTTCAAGTCAGCCAAGGGAAAAAGAGAATATTTGATTTCAGAGTTTTCATCGAAACTAGGATTGCCAGATAAAATACAGGATGCCCAATTACACTTGAATTTCAGATAAACATAAATTTATTTTTAGCGTAAATATGTACCAAACATTGTATGGGACATACTTATAGTAAATTTTTCCTCATTTACCTGAAATTCAGGAGCCCTGGTGGCACAGTGGTTAAGAGCTTGGCTGCTGACCAAAGGGTCAGCAGTTTGAATCCACCAGCTGCTCCTTGGAAACCCTATGGGACAGTTCTACTCTGTTCTGTAGGGCCGTTATGAGTCAGAATTGACTCAACGGCAATGGTTTTGGGTTTTTTGTTTGTTTGTTTGTTTTTGGTACCTGAAATTCAAATTTAACTGGGCATCTTGTATTTTTATTTGCTAAATCTGGCTATCGTGTTCCAAACACATCAGTCTAGATAAACTTTTTGTAGAAATATTAGCCACAGAAGGGGTTTATCCCAGAGTACATTTATAAAAGGAACAAGAAGGGAACAGAACTGATAGTATTCTTTTTCTATGAGTTTGCGCAAGCCATAGAAATGTATTTCGAATGAATCCCATTTTTGTCAACCTTCCATGTGAGGGGTTCTTAAACTCGGGTCTGTGAAAGAGCTTCAGGAGGTCTGTGAATCTTCCGAAATCTAGACCAAAACAAATATATGTGCATCTTTGTAGGGGAAAGGAATCATAATTAGGTTCTCAGAAGGCGCCTTACCCCCAAGAAGGTCAGAAGGCGCTACCTTATTGCCTGAGGGCATAGCTTTAAACTCAGGGAAAGCATTTTTTGCTGGAGATTTGGGTGTTATTACTTTTCAGGCAACTGACTTTCTGATTATCTAACCTAAAACTTAGAGAATTTAAGAGTGGAAAGTTTACGGGCCCACTGAAGCATCTCTCTCAAATGTATGAGATGTCATGAGTTCCACATCTTTCACAGGAGATGATCTGGAGTCAGTTCATGAGTCATGCTGATTATTGTGCATTATCTGATAATGGTTAAAATTAAGAGGCATATGTTATAAATGCCAAAGGCCATTAAAGAGAGGAATAGAGATGAGAGACAGAGAATAATGCCTATACAATTAATAATCTTGCTACCTGAAAAAATAAATGACCCATTCTGATAATTACTTCTTTATTATTACTTTAGAACTCCTTCCTCAACTTACCAACAGCAGTTTCCAATGAGCTCGACTGGCCACAATTTTCTGGCATTACTGGATTTCTAGACTCCACTAGTGGGTAAGTGTGTTTGCACACCTTCAAACATTTCAGTATATCTATGTAAGGAAAGAACAGGAGTTGGGACTTCTTCCCAACATGTTGAAATGAGAATTATTATGAACTGTTTCCAGAACAAAAGTCACATACAACAAACCCCACTATGGACATAGAGTCCACCATACAGTGGATTGTAATTGAAATTGTATTTTATCAAAGCTGCCAAGGATGGAATATCCCTACTGCAGAGGCTTTATGGTTTGTCTCTGATGGAAAATACTCACAACCATCACCGAATTTTTCTGATTTGAAGAACAAAGAAGCTTACTTGATTTTTTTATTCTCAGAAATTAATATTTATAAAGGTAATGGCTATCAATGATCATAAAGATGGCAAAGGACCAGGCAATGTTTTGCTCTGTTATACATAAGGTCGCCGTGAGTCAGAGCTAACTCAACAGTAACTAACAACAAAAACAATGGCTAAAAATAATTGGAAAGTCTCAAGTTCCTGGAATCATCCTGGTGTTAATGCTCTGGTTTGTAGGTAGAGACAGTGCACTATGAGTCTGAGTGAGACACAACTCAATTTGCTATGTGTGGTTTGTTGTTGACTTTGGGCCTGGGCTTCACTTCCCAGGCCTACAACCTGACAGGGACACCTCTGATGCTGGTGAGGCTTTGCAAGTGTCCCCAACATGGTGGACAGACACAGGTATGACAGGTAATTTCCCAACATACCCCAAATATTTATGAAACTAAATAAACCAAAAACCTAACCAAACCCATTGCCATGGAGTCAATTCCAACTCATAGTGACCCAATAGCACAGAGTAGAACTGCCCCACGGGGTTTCCAAGGAGCACCTGGTGGATTCGAACTGCTGACCTTTTGGTTAGCAGCCATAGCTCTTAACCACTACGCCACCAGGGTTTCCAAAAACTAAATAAGCAGAAGGAAATATGGTAGATGAATGACTTTCTTATAAAAAAAAAGGGGTAGAGCTTTGCTTTGAGATCTGAAGGCAGGATGGAACCAACTAAAAAGCCCTCTTTGACTCAGGCAGCAACACTAGAAAGGACAATAAAATAAGCCATGGAAATTGTGGGGAGGGCAAGAGTGCATGGGCCTGGTTTACCCAAATCTGTAAAAAGCAGGAATGTTTGAGAAACGGTTATAGTATTAGCACCCCATTTTTTAAATTTGATGTAGGACATTTTATACCTGAATAATTTATTGGATCATTATCTTTAATCATTCATTGTAAAGATACTTACTGAATACTTACCACCTACTTAGGCACTGAGTTAGGTACCACAGGTGTTTTAAGCTAAGCAAGTCTTTTCCTATCTCTGAAGTCGATTACTATCAAGTAGGGAGATGAGACAAATGCACAAATAATGGTAGTACAAGACAGATGGACCAAAAGACAGGTCTCAACAGAGGGCTACAGGGTTCAGTAGAGAAGGAATCCATGGAAAAGAGCAACAGCCACCTCCTATTGAGGTGAGAGGCAAGGGGCCCAAACCCTAAAGGATTTAGGAGATTGGGGTGATGGAGGGGGTAGAAAAAAGCTAGGAAAGAAAACTTACCTTCAGGAAAACATACTCATATTTATGCAGAAATCATTTATGAATATAGCAAAGCAGAAGGGATGCATTTTCAAGTTCAGCTGTAGATTTTCAAGTTTACTTTTGTTTGAATAAAAAGGCTACTCCTTGCCATTAGGGTAAAAATACTAACAGTAACGATAATAGTGATAGTAAGAATAACACTATACTGAGTGTTAAATTGAGATTATCTCATTTAATCCCTTTGTAAGGTAGGTGGTATTATTTTCTGCATTTTGCAGTTGAGGAATCTAAGAGTGTAGTAGACAGATCAAGAAACTTGACCAAGGTCACACAACTGATAAGAAGTGATGAGGAACATAAACCCAGATTTTCGGCATGGAACCTTGCCGAAAGAGTAATTGGTGGGCAAGGACCCTCCTAGCCCACAACTCCCAACCTTTATGTACTGGTTTTATTCTGTGTGCAGGAACATGGCTCCCTCTTTGCCATTATTCCCTTCTTTGAGTGCATAGCTATAGGGTGGGGCAATGACTAAGAACAAAGGAGCCTTCCAATGCGGAGACTTGGCATGCATAGTTCCACATGTCAATCATGTGTCTGGTGTCCCTTCCTAGGGTCCCAATACTCCCAGCAGTCTGGGGCCCCCTGAGCACCAGCCTCGGTCCCCATCTTTTCTCTGCTGCAGCTGCTGTTGTCTTTGTCACCTGGAACACATCCGGAAATAGGCCCAGTTAAAGCAGCTTTCTAGAAGGGTCTTTTATCTCCCCACTGTGAACATCAGACTTGAGAAAATAATACCTAAGTGCCCTCCGCCCAATCCAGCTATCTGCCTATAAAAATACCAGGAGGTATCTCTAAACCAAGGCTTTTACGACAATAACGAAAAGAATTGGTTAAGAATGAGAAATGGATGCGGTTTACTGTACTATCAGTGGAAGCTTAAATTTACACGTGAATCCTATGAAGCTCAGTCACTGTTTGATCTGAAACCTCATGATGTTGCCATAAAGAAAATACCAGTCTGATGTTTGAAAGTAATTGCCAAGCTGTTTAAATCTTTACCGGAGTCCCTCGAAGAGTGCTAAGGAAGGAATTCATTCACCATGCCCAGCAAAACTGGTCAACACTTCTTTCCTCATCTCTGCAGCTCACACTCGCCAGGAGTTGCCCCACGTCTCGTACATCTAAACTTCTCCAAAACTCTATCCTTCTTAGCTCCTGTTCAGGCTCTGTTCAGTTGTTTTTAGTTTTTGTTGGGGGACAGCAGGGAAGCCTGTCACCCTCTTCCTTTCTGCCTCTCTTCTGTCCCCAGACTAGAGACTGCTCCCTCTGTTGTTGCTGTTAGTTGCCGGTGAGTCAACTCATGGTGAGTCCGTGTGTGCCAAGTAGACCTGTTCCATAGGGTTTTCGAGGTTGTGACATTTTGCAAGCAGATTGCCAGGCCCGGCTTCTGAGGTGCCTCTGGGTGGGTTCAAACCACCAATCTTTCGGAGAAATGAGCGCTTAATCGTTTGCACTACCCAGGGGCTCCTTGGGGGGTGGGCGGAGGTTGCTCCCTTATCAGTGTAAAATCCCCCTAGCTCGCCAGTCCTGCAACAGTTTCCACCCATTATCCTCATCTCTAGAGCCCAGCAGATAGACAGGATCTTCCTTACAAGTGTGATGGTGGGACGAAGGGAAGAGGAAGTGTTGTGAGTCTTCAGACGCGAATAGTTTCTTGTAACTCTTACATTTTAAGGGCTATGCAGAGAGATTCTGACAGTGGCTCACAAAGTTAAGTGCAGCTTATGTGAAAATCATCTCTATTCTGAGCTAGTCTGTACTGCTGTTTACAAAAAACACTCAGCCTTTGCTCGTGCAGCTTGCTCAGTGTTGATTCTAAGTATTGTACTGATCTGTTGTATCTCTAAGGAGGTTCACACCACAACTGGTAGTTCCCCTACCTGCAGTCACTTTTTTATTTGTGGGGCCCTGAGTTACCTCGTTGTCTCTCTCAGAATGCTCTTTTGGCCAGTTGTTTCTGTGTGCTGTGCCTGTTGTCTCTGCCACTCAGCTGTAATGGGGAAGAGTATGTACAACTCCTTTTGATACAACAGGAAATTCTCTGTTGGAATCTGAACTGCCGTGATTCCCCCATTAAGGAGTAACATGAGCAGCATGGCACTGGGTAAGTATCATCATTTAGTGTGTCATTCATATGAGGGTTAATGTTAAACTGTCTCATCTGTCCTCAAGCAGAGTATTTTTTAAAAAAAATTGTCATTGAGTTGATTCCGAGTCATGGTGACCCTACGTATGTCAGAGTAGAACTGTACTCCATAGGGTTTTCAGTGGTTGATTTTTTTGATGTAAACGTTTAAGCCAGGACTTTCTCCTGAGGTACCTCTGGATGTTCTCCAACCTCCAGCCTTTCAATTAGCAGCCAAGCACGTTAACTGTTTGCACCACCCAGGGGCTCATGTAAATTATACCTGCAGATAATCTGTGCTAGATCAATTAAAAGAATAAAAATTCATCAAGTGTGCAAAAAGTACTGTAGAGACTTTAGCAGATGGTGGAGGTCTTCTCCTGATGGAATAAGAAGAATGAAAAAAATATTGACCTAGAAACGGCACTGGTGAGAGATATGAATAGCTGCCACCAGCGTTTGAGCAAATGTTCCTTTCAGTTTAAATGCTTATCAATGTGGGACAGAGCCCCACTCAGCTGCTAACCGAAAGGTCAGCGGTTCGAACCCACCAGCCACTCTACGGAAGAAAGATGTGGCAGTCTGCTTAAAATCCTTAAAGATTACAGCCTTGGAAACCCCATGGGGCAGTTCTACTCTGTCCTGTTGGGTCACTATGAGTCAGAATTGACTTGACGGCAGTGAGTTTGGTTTTTGTGCTATTCAACTGGATCTCTAGAATGTGTTTCCTATCATTTGTGATCAGCCTCATATTATGAGTATTAGCAATGCTCTTTGGGAAATACACCTTGTGAAAACAAAAAAGATGCAATTTTGAAGAGAATGTGGTTTCTTTCCTTCTTCAGTTATACTCTTTGCCCCCTCAAAATTTAATATGTCCTTTTGGAAGCACGAATATAACTCTAATTGAAATTACACGCATGGGATAAAAGACAAACATAACCCCTTAGTTTTGCAAATGTTTAGTTCCTTCAGCTGAGTCAGCATTAACAAAATCTGTTCCCTTGACTCTCAGACTTCAGAAAATTCAATAATAAGTGATATTCCTTAAAAACATGTGTTGTTGTTGTTTTCCCCAATATGATTCAGAAAGCAATTGAGTAGGTCAAAAACAGAAAAAAATCTCCGTGAGGTTGGTAGCTTGGAGTCTGGGAGCCTGACGATAAGGTAGAGAACTGTAACTGTTAAGTGGAAAGAAAGAACATATTTTAAAAGAGATTAAAAAGAATGCTTCGTGTTCAGATCACCTCCAAAAGCAA